AATCTACAACGGACTCTCCATCAACAGAATCTACAACGGACTCTCCATCAACAGAATCTAAATAATGAATGAACTCCCATGTATGAACGATATAATGCACTCCCCAACGATACATATCACAATAGTGATGAAAAATAGACAATGTTTGATTACAAGTTATTTGAATGAATAGATGTATTGTCTTCCATAATAATATTATGGAAAAATGCAGGCATATTATATTGTTGATCGATAATTGTTTTGTTTGATGGAAATGATAAACGAATCATAAGTTTTATTTAGACAAGAGTTCAGCGGAAAACAATTAACAAATAATAAAGAGGAAAAAAATATGTATTCTCATTTCAAATAAAATGTTATGTGGTTTTAATCTTTATTTATTTAAAATCTTGATAAAAGTCGAACTGAGAAACAAATAATCGAATTTGAAAATAGTCAGCATCATATAAAAGCAGCGTAGTACGCTTGTATAATCGCAGATATTTACCAAAGTAGTTTCTCGACGAACGCTGTATTTTGTACTTGCAAAAATGGGTACAGCCGTTTGGACTCTTCTTATTCTATCGCTATTGGCATATGAGGTAATTAAATTTCAATCAAATTCCTTTAAAACTGAAATTAATTCCATGTTAACATTGATTTAAGTTTGCCGACGGAATTTTCGTGACTTTGGGCTTTCTGAAGGAAAAATGTTCATATTTGAACTTACAATTTATTGTTCAACCGTTGGTTTGTCAAATTTTAAATGCTACCATTAATAAAACAACGAACTTTTAAATTCTATGATGATCATATGGACGGAACGCTAGGGGTAGACACAAACTAAGAAAAATTCGGACTTATTAGGTCCTGTCGTTATATGCGACGTAATAAAAAAAAAAAATTAGAAAAACTATCAATATAGAGTCCGTGTCTCCCTCCTTAGACGGAACGAGAAAATCAAACCAAACTGAATACATATTTTTAAAGGTGTACGTAGAAAAATAAAATATAATTAGATATGCAAAGCTAAAATGATGAAATATTTGATGTTTTTATTATTGAAAACTTTATAATGATGTGCAAAATGATGCAGACTTTGTCGATGTGCAATTTCAGTTTTAATGATGCAATTGCGTGCGTCAAACAACTCAACTCCTCAAGTTATTCCGAGAAATGATCGTGTCGTAAAAGATTGTCCATAAGCAATTGCATGTGAATGTGCACTAAATATCTGTGACTTAAATGTAATCGAAAATATTTATTTTTCTTTCGAAATTATACAAATCTCCGATTTCATCATTCCGAAGACGTCAATATCATTCAGAAATGTGATTTTCGATTGATATATAAAGGGAGACTTTTGTTGAAAAGAATCATACATGTTTTGATAACGATCTTTGGAACATTCAAATAAATATTATCAAATTCAAATAATACTAACACTTCGAAATGAAAATTCAAGTTGCTTTTCTAATTTTGTGCTTTGGGCTGATTCAGGTGAGTCAATTTAGTTTGTTTTAGGAAATTGGTATTTGGTAGTTAACTTTTTCATTTAGATGGTGCAATCCACGCCATGTCACGACCAAGGAGGAAGTCCACCCCAGAATCCATCTCCAAATCTAGCTCAGAATCCACCACAAAATCAACCCCAGAATCCACCAACAGTTCCAGTTTTACCTGCTATTCGCTAATTCCAAAAGCCAAATCAGATTCAAAGCTTCTTTTCTTAACTCCGGAGTTAAAATTTTTTGATTAATATTCAAACAATTATTATTCATGTATTAACCTAATAAAGCACAATTTGATCACATCAAATGCATTTGTTCTGTCTTTTGTTTTTGGTCACGTTTGCACTTTTTGAACACATCTATCATAAAAGATAAAACTCTAAGCTAATTTACATCTGGACTCACTCATTGACTCTACAAATACGTGAATAAAAAACAGTAGCAAAGACAGAATGTAAATATGAAAATAAATGGAAACAAATGTTTATGTGATTGTTTTAAATTCTGGTTCAATATGTAAGAAATGACAATTGTTAACTTCCAAGTTTTTTTCTCTGTCGGGAACACACGTCGTTATATGACGATGTTGATATATTATTAATCATCAATGACGTTAAATTCTCTTTTTCTGACTGAAATACTAAACCGCTGCAACTTGCATTTTAAATGGGAGAACGGTTCGGTTTTTAAGATAGATTGTACCCAGCGATATAAACAAACCATTTTTTTAGTTTCACTTGAAACCAAACCGGAGCATTCGGAACGTTCGAAAAATGGTTTCTACTACAAATCGCATCTGCGATGCGCTGTACTGTGTGCATAGCATCAACGTTGTACACTTATAAATTCGAAGCATCGATATTTACGTATACATAGCGTGAATGTATGTTCGCATCGCTGATTGTACCTGAATATGACATATCGAAATTCCATTTAACTTAGAACTATAACAAGTGAAACAAGGAAGGTGTCTCTTTCTTTCTCATTATTGAAAATTTTTGAGAAATACTCACCAATTTGATGTTTGTGAAATGAGCCGATAGTGTGGATTTCTTTTCACGATGAATGTTTTTAACCCATATTCATTGTTTATAAATACAGGTAATTCATTTCATTTCGTCGGAATTCGATGATATTGATCTGAGTAATTTGCTTTTTGTTTACTTTCTCTGTCAAATAATAATGTGTAAAATAAATGCGTTACGGGACTGCTAGAAATCAGCAATTCATTTTTCATCTTTTTTATATGATTAGACCAATAATTTTCGATGTAAAACTTTGATGTCATTGATTGCAATCAATATTGAATGCAAACCTCTTCTTTGATTGAACATATTGTTTTGCAACACCAATTATTATTTTAAATATATCTACGAAAACTTTAAATATAAACGACGATATAAAAGAAATTTATATTTACCTTTTTAATTCTAACATTTTACTGCTAACAGGTAAGTAATCTTGAAGTCATGTATCTTGATTTCCAATCATTTTATGTTTGATTTTCACTGGGGGATTTTTCTTCAGTTCATCATTCTTAAAGTATCAATGTCAAAATTGAACTATTTAGTGCCTTTTCATTCCGTATTGCATTTACTAGCACAATGGGTAAAAAATTCAAGTGAAATTTCGAATTGAACGTAAATCATGTTCAAATATAAGTAATAAAGCATATAGTTTAGTTGAAATAAAGTCTTTGGTTTGATCCTTTAATTCTATTGTTATTGGCACTTCTACATTTAATTTTTAACCATATCGTCTTGAATTTCTGTTATTTTTCCATTATTTTAATGACACACACTGAATCATCCATTTTTCGTTGAATTTAAAAATGATTTCATAAAGTGACGCATATTTTCGTTGAAAGTCGAATGCGATCGAAAAGTAAATACAGAATCTGAATAATTCAAACACATTAATTACTTATAAATTATTAGTCACTGCCATTTAATTGTCCATATTACAAAAAATTATTCACGAATTGCATTGTATTGGGCTGGAGCTGTAGAATATATAAAAAGAAAATATTCCAGCCACAGAATCATATCAAATAAGAATCTGAACGTGAAACATTTAAATCATTTACAAGAGACAGAAATGAAAAGCAAAATTATTTTCTTCTATTTTGTCATTTGCTTGGGGCAGGTAAGCAAAAATTGTTCAATAATCATCAATTAAATATAAATACCATTATCTTTAATTAAGGCTGTATTTTCCGAGCACTGTGACTGTAAAAATAAGTGTGAATGCAATGGGGGAGACAATTGTGAACCGGCCAACTCAGGCTTTCAACCTCAATTAAATGAAATCAACAAACCACAAAATGGACAGCTTCATCAACCTTTGTTTGATCAAAGTCCATTTGGCCAACTTAACGCACAGAACCAGCCAAGAAGAGGTCCACCAAATTTTCGGCCAAAGCATACACCGAAAAATGACAAGCCAAACAGAAAACCTGAACACTTACCTATTCAAATGGTTCCAGACAACAGCCGTCCAGCTAATCAAATACCATGATTGACCATATTAAAAACTAAAATATGTCGAAAATTCGATAAATTAATATTCTTTGTAAAACAAAATTTCTCTTTAAAATAAACAATTGGCGCAATTTTTAACTATTTCCTTCCACAATACTAACTTCAAAAAATAAGCACTAACCTGTAAACTTTTTTCTTCTGTCACTTCTTGTTTAAAAAAAAAAGAAAACAATTTGTTATTGGTTTGAATGAAACGGTTTCTACAAATACAAATTATTTTTTTTACGCTGAATAAATTTTCAAATAAATAGTTTCCAAGGGCTAATTTGTGTCTTTCAGTATTCGATAAATTTCGGGAGAAATCTATTTGCCGAATCTGCCAAATATCGATCTTACTTCACATTTCCCTGGCATCTTCGTACTTCATTCGGCGAATAAAAAGAGTAACGTATTCAATATAAAATGCCATTCAATTTTATATAAATATTGTTGAACATATGTTAGATGATGTACTGTATTGATAGGGAAATGTAATTATTTGATAACATATCATTTAATTAAGATGTTTTTATTATGTTATGTTTAATCTCTAGAATTTCAACAAAATCCAAGGTATGAACGTTACAAGCTATGAACGTTTCGAGTATTTCCAATAAAATCTGGATAAACTGAAACATCATTTGCTTAACGTAAATAAATAATTTGGATTAATTCGGTAGCTGAACAAATTTTAAATATTTGTGTATTTTTGAAGGCATTAAATTTCATTCATATATTTCCTGTATTGTATAGTATAAATGAAATGAATGTGAATTATTCGAAATCAGTCTCATTTGCAGCTTTAACAAGTGTTTTCAGTTATTATTTGGTGTTTTGATAAAGTTTGAAAAATGCAACGCAAAACAATTTTCGTTTTCTTCATTATTTTGGTGCTTACATATCAGGTATATATATATATATATATATATATTGATATTTAATTCGTATAATAAATGTAATCAATCCCATTCGTTTGTTCAAATTTTCATGAAATTTAAGGGTTCCGGAAATTTGCTCACTTTGTTCCAAAGAAAATGCCAACGGTTTCCATTTCTTTTGAGTTGTACATTATTCAACTCACTTATACCAAACACTGCTAGCCCTGTAAGCACTGCAAGCACCCCAAGCTCTGCAAGCACTCCAAGCTCTGGATTCACAGGTAAGACAATTAAATATAAATTAACAGTTCGATTGTAAATTCTTCCGAATATTCCATTTAAAACGGTCTTTTTATTTATAGGAGCATCATCATCTGGATGAAGACTCTAATGAACTGCGTATAATAATAGCTCTAATTTTATTGACTTCGCTTTTAAAAAATTGAATATTTTTATTTGAAATGAATAAAAGAAAAGTATTAATTACTCAATATTTTTACCTTTTAATTTTTTAGTTTATTTCGAATACATTTGGTTATTTTCAATTTATTTCGAGCTTTTAACTGTCCATTCATAAAAGGAAAACAACTGTTCTCGGTACTTTGTTTGAACAAATGGATTTCCAAATTAAATGCTTTTTTGAACTTGACATTGAGTAGACTCTAGATATTATCAAAAAAAAGTGATATCTGCGCATCATTCAATTGTTTATTTACCCCAGAGATTAAAATGAGGATTTTATTTGACTACCGGTGAAACTGAAAATCCTGTAGAAAATGACAAAAAAACTTCGAAAATATCAAAAAATAGGTACTTGATGGCCAAAAAATTGACCTCTGGACGGCATGAAATGATTTTTTTATATTTTGCACGTGAATTGGTTGATATAAAATTTGCATCACTATAAGACGGACCCATTTGATCAAAACAAATGAATTATTTAATTGCACGTGTTTGAGATTTATATATTTTTTGTTTCAATCACAAAAATTCGTACAAGACTGGTGGCCTAACGCTTCAAAAGACATGAGACTAACAAGCTTACATCGACGACGAATCGAAAGTGGAATAATTTTCATATATGACTTGATCACAAAAAACATTGACTCCCCAACACTAAATGATCGAATAAAACACAGAGAATAACCAAACTATAATTTAAGAAGAAGAAACTTACTAGACATACCAGTGGTAGACCGTAACTATCTTTATAACAACCCTTTCTTGATAATGTATCGTAACTTTAACAAAATAAGTGATGTATTTACGAGCTGTTCTTCACGTAACGAATTTATATCAAAAATCAAAAAAATACCTGACATCATTTTTGAAAATTAAAAATGTGTATGTAATTATATACTAAACTAGTTTATAAGTATATGTATTCAGTCCTGAAGGGCGTAGAAATGAATAATAATAATAATAATAAAATAATGTTACTCTAATTTTTAGCACTGTGTAGCTATAATTCAAAATTTTAAAGTGAATAATATTTGTGCTTCATAAATGTTGGGTCGTTCGATGCGTCATTGTTTTTTTTTATTACTTGTTGTTGTTGTTTTTTTGTCATTCCGCACCAAAAATGCTATTTGACAAAGAAATTATGAGCTCACTAAATAATTTAATTTTTATTTCCTTAATAACAGTTTCGGTTGTACGCCTGGTTGCAGTGGTACGCCGCATTGACAGTGGAAGCGTTTCAAGAGCGACCAATTATCAATTGGGATGCGATTTTATTCGTTAGTCGACCGACGGAATTATGGGCAGTACAATTTATATTGGCATTCATTTCATTAACTGAAGCGATGTTATTAACATATTTTGGTTATAAGGTAAGTGCACACAGACATACTATTTCATTCGCTTAATGGTTCGCGCATTAAAAAATAAAATTATTGACCGATTTTACGATGTTATTAATCAAATTTTTTGATCAAAGCAATCGCTGTGCTGTGTTAAAACAGCAACGCTCATTCGTTCGGTCGAAAATACATCAAACTGACTCATTTTGATTTTATTTCATTTGTTCAGGTTCCTAAGTGTAAATTATGGAAAGACGTTGCCGCTGTACTTGGAATTGGTGCTAGTAGCAACAATGTAAGGTAAGGCGATTTAATTTGGCAAAATCAAGTTTTTCGTTTTAAAATTGAATTTATTTGCACATTGAAAATAGGTCCGTCGCCGCAACAATTCGATTATCGACAACAAGAACCAACGCTGATAAGACGTCATCCTGATTTTGAAAAAGAAAAGTCTCCGATGCCAAGCAAAAGTTTTTTACCCAGTGAGATAACGGTTCCAACGGAAATTTCAATGGAAAAGTCTAAATTATCCCAGAATCTGATCGTTCTTTTTTTGCCATTTAAATTTGATGAGCGAAAAATAGTAAGAATAATTAGCTTCAGATTTTAGATTTTAACGAGTCAATTTCTATCATGAAAAAAAGGCGATTTTCATGGCAATGGATTAACCGATAGATAACTGATAGATTAGCAATAAAGTTAGCAAAAGACCAAAAAAGTTAGCAAGCAATAAATTGAGATTCAAACTTGAGATTGAAGTCAAACAATATTTCATATTTCATTTTAACAGAACACTTGTGTTTTTTTTTAATCTAAAAAAAATTAACAATTCAAATGTAACATTTGCAAAGATATCATTTGTTTTTGAATTATTTTTTTTTCCGGATTCTAACTCTTTAGTTGTGACACAACTAGACCGGTGACAATTAATCCTATGTGAACAGAAAAACATTTAAATAAAGATGAAGATCTCAAAATCTATGAACTAAAATAAACTTTTACTTCAAACTAAAATTAACTGCATTTTTGGAACCAATATTGATTTGTTGATTTTTCGATCGGACCGTGATGTATATTCTTCTTCATCATTTCATCTCGTTGCTGTAAATATTAAAAACAAATTCTAAGTCATACTTCATTTTTTCAAAAAAACTATGTATACTATGCTATACTATACTCACATTGGCAAATAAACTCGGTTGATATTATTCATGCATACAAATTGTTTGCACATTGGACATCGTTTTCTGGTTTCTGCCACATTAGTTATGCACTTTGTACAAAACATGTGGCCGCATTTGGTTGTTGATACCTCTTGTTTTTCCATGGTCTCCAAGCAAATGGCGCATTCTAGTTGTTTTGTGGCATCCTTCTTTGCATTCGAATCGACTTCTTTTGGTTTGATTAGTTTAACATACAGTTCGAATGTGATGTTGTTGTTTACAATGAATCCGTTTTCTGGTTCCATTAAATCAAGCCAATTAATCACTGTTCTTCCACAAGGTAATAGATGTTTGATGTTGCCACTCCAATTAAATTCATGATGGTGGGGCCATTCATTTGAAGATTTCAATTTGAAATCAACTTCAATGATGTATAAACACTTCACATTTCTGTCTGAACATTCTGCGTGAATGTAAAGACGATTTGTCAGTCGAGAAATAACAAATTGCAAAGGCACATTTTTCAGGGTGAACTGTAGCGTTCTTACCGCCATGAGATTTTCGATGTTGCTTATTGTTACGTTTAATGAAGCCAAGCTACTTTCGTGACAGCATTTGTTGAATTCAAACAAATCAAAACGTAGTTTACTTGAGGTTTCGTCGTGTATATCAAGTAGTTCAACACTGACGTGTAACATGATTGCGCCGTTTTTGATATAATCATTCTTTTCCTCAAATAGGTCTGTCAATTTGATGACCTTTGAATGACCCCACCCCATTTCGATGTAATTGAACACGTAGACAAGATTAATGACAATTGGTTCACTTTTGTCAAATGACAATAATTTTATGTTGCATTTGGCTGTAATTGCCAAATCAAGTGGTTTATCTTCCACTGCACAATGCAAATATATTGCCAACCACTTCTCCTTTTCCGTTATATTCTCCTCTGTTTCGATTTTCCATGGTATGCTTCCGACAGTAAATTCCGGTGACCAGAAATGTTTCAATCTCTTGACTGGAATTCGTAGTGCGTAGTCACATTTTGTTTATACCATGATTGCTTCTGCTTCAGCCATTTTGAAATTTGTTTATCGTTTGAGTGATGAACAGAAACTGAATGTCGAGACTGAAAACGCTCTCCCTTTTATAGAAATGTACGAGATCACGATCGAGGTTCTATGCCCCTGCAGAATGAACAGAAACTGAATGTCGACACTGAAAACGCTCTCCCTTTTATAGAAATGTAGTGAAGGGGAAGTGTGCCACACTAGGGGAAGTTTAAAAAAAATGCACACCATAGCGTAAGAATCATTCTATTTTTGGCTCTCTTGCGAATTACAATCAAAGGAGAAAAATAATCAAAGATGTCTGGACGCGGTAAAGGAGACAAAGTAAAGGGGAAGGCAATGTCACGATCACATCGAGCTGGTCTTCAATTCCCAGTCGATCTTGATGGCATCAAGTTATTGACACAAATTGGAATTGAACGTAAACTAAGTCGCTTTTCCCTTTCTTTTTCTAATTCATACGGTTTGCTTTGATATACGATATTCCGTCATTAATGTAGATAATTTACAGACTTTCTCGTTCAAATGGCTTCGAAACATTGGTGAAAGAAATTTCGAGATTTAGGGTGCACAAACTCGTTCATCGGATCAAAAAATATTGTACTACAAAGTTGTTCAGAATGACGAGAGAAATTTTTTGGGAGTCCCACCCCTTAAGGGGGTCGGGGGGTCAAAAACCCCCAAAATATGATTTTTTTGACCTAAAACCCCAAAATTCGGAATCAGCATGAAAAATTACCTTTGAATCGATATTTTTCTCATCCACCTTTTTTCAAGAATTTCGGACCAAAAAAATGTAAATTCGACCCGTAGCGGTGCAGTGGAGGGCGCGTAATGGAACTACGTGCCCATCACATTTACAGAACTTTTGGCAACACTGTTCGTAGTGTTTTGACATTTCATGAAATGTGACATTAATGTTCGTTCATTTGAACCGTGTTTGAGTTTTTGAAATAAAGTGATGAAATTCTAATTTATTATTGTGAGTTTGATATATATTTTATTATTATGATAAAATAACAGTGAAAAAAATGTGTGAAAACATATGTAAGTATTGAAAATTTCAAAAAAATTAGTTTAAATTTCTTGAATTGAATTGGTAAAATTTCTTCTTATTTACAAGGTGCGTTGTTCTTTAAGGAGTCAGTCAAAAATATATTTCTTTTTACTACATGTGTTTGTTATGAGTATCTCTGAGCGGTGCACTGTGAGTGTGTAAATGTGTTACGGCTGGAACAAAAATGTGCTAACGGTGGCACAAGTGTATTTACTCGACCGTAATCGACAGAACGGATAACTAACTTTCAATAATTCTGAGGAAAACTCAATAATATTTTTTAAAAATATTGAACTTAATGACGCTTAATGAAGTAATAAAAAAGAAATATATTTTTGATTGACTCCTTAAAGAACAACGCACTTTGTAAATAATAAGAAATTTTGCCAATTCAATTCAAGAAATTTACACTTGTCTTTTTGAAATTTTCAACACTTACATATTTCACACATTTTTTTCACTGTTATTTTATCATAATAATAAAATACATATAAAAACTCACAATAATAAATTAGAATTTCAAAAACACGGTTCATATCAACAAACATTAATGTCACATTTCATGAAATGTCAAAACAGTAATAACAGTGTTGCCAAAAGTACTGTAAATGTGATGGCGCCACCAGTACTAAAATACTACACTGCGCTAGGACGATTCGACCCCTCAAATCTAACAAAGTCGATTTTACACTTTTTTGGTCCGAAATCTGTGAAAAAGCGTGTATGAGAAAAATATTGATTCCAGGGTAATTTTTATTGATTTCAGGGACCCCCTGACTCCCTTAAAAAATTATTTCTCCTGTTTCTCCTGCGTTGTGTTTGACTC